ACCTCTGCAAATTAGCTTCCTCTTTGGAGATGTAGAGAACTGGGGCATGAAGGGAAAGGCCTCTCTGGTAGACCACGTGACTGAATTCATTGCTGGCCCCCTGACTACCTGAAAGAGCTGTCTGTACACAGTATAAGTGGGATTTTGTCTGGGTGTGTGTCATCTCTAGAAAGAAAGCATTTAGCCGTTGAGGAAAGAGCAATGGTGTGTGGCAGTGAAAGGGGTCATTCGAGTGGAGGTCAGAAGAGCCCGTAAGTATGTAGGGAGCATGTGTTTCTGCACACACAGTGGGATTTATAGATATAAAAATTAAATACATAGTCTATAAAACACGTAATATTATTTATACATATATATTTATACACACACAAGAGCATAGGCAGGTGTGCACCCCAACAAGGACAGTATGCAGAGCCAATGGGGTTGCACAAGGCTGTTTCCAGAGGGCAGGGGGAGAGGGGGCCTGTTTGCCAGCAGGCTAGCACAGCTGAGCAGATTTGCTCTTCGGGTTCATTATTTACTGGGTCCAATTAGGAAGCCAGGGGATTGGAAATGTGGCTGAGGCAAGCGGGCCTTCAAAGCCTTCCTCCTGCACACATCAAAGCCGCCTGCCGCAGATCCCTCTGCAAAAAGGGTTCTGTCAGCTCCAAGCAGCAGCAGCCGCCTGGCTCGTGCTGCTCGGGGTCGTTCCCTATTGGTTTGATTGTCAAGCCTCCCAGGCTCGTACTCTCTCTATCTCCAGCCTCCAGAGCAGAAAGCTCCTTTTTCTGATTTACTGGGACAGAGTTAAGGAGCTACAGCTTGGCAAGATGGTGTTTAATGGGGCTGCAACAACCAACCAAGCTAACTATGAACGTGTGAAAGGCAAAAAACCTGCAGGGAAGCAGGTTGCCTAAAGTCACAGGAGGGGATGATTTGGGATGAGAAGAGCTGCACTGTGTGAATAGTCATCCCCTTAGGGAAACCTGAAAGGCCCCCCACTGGGAAAGGGCTGTACTGAACCAGGCAGAACAGCCAGGAGACAGCCCTTGTCAGTGAGGAAGCTTTGGCAGAAGGGTCAGAATTTCATCCCTTGAAAACATGCTCAAGGCAAATGTCTGCTCTTAATGGGAATGGAGTGGCTTGCTTGCCAGAAGCTGGCAATCCCTCTGTTCACCTAATAGAATATGTTCATTGTCATCAGTACCAAGGAGCATTGTCCAAGCCTTCTCCCTCTCTGCTTTGATAAACTGCATAGTGACAACCATCAGTTCCCTGACAAAGCTGGCTCCTGCGCAGAAACATTTGTAAATTCACTCGATGGATAAAGCTCTGTTCCTGCACCCACTACTCCCTGTTTGCCTTCGAGGTTAGAGTTAATATGACTCACCTAATCTGGCTGCCAAAGTGAATTAGTGAAAACATCTCTACAGCTCTCTGCAAGATATCACAACCTGACATTTCTCTAACACACTGTGATACATCTATCCTCTCCCTGGTCTTTACTACGACACCTCGATTTTATATAAACGCTTTTTGTTAGAAATGGTTAATGTACTCTTAGAGGGGACAAGGCAGCAAGCAAGCAAAAGGGTCTGTCTTGCAAGTGAGAGCAGCTAAGTTCTTGTAGCAAAATGTTGATGCCCAGGGTCACCAGTGCAGGGACAATAACAGTGTTACCACTATTTCAACAAGAGACTGTCACAGAAACTTTCCCTGAAGTGTTGTGCTTGTATCTGTGTCCTGGAGCAGGGGAACGAGGAACTGAATAGGGTTATTGATGTCTTTGGCATGCCCTTTAAAACAGAAGTCCTGCCTTTCACTTACCTCTAGAGAACTTCACTGGGCAAACCAGCAACTCATCATGTCTTGGGAGGGGTTTTGTGCAGCTGTAAATGCTCTCCTGCTGGACAGGGCACATGGTACATTTTAAGTGGGTGTATGTATGCAGGGGAGAAGCTAAAAACCATCTTCCATTGAGAAAGTATGTACCCTTTTAGGATACTTTGGCACTTCATTGATGTGGCTGTCTGACAGACAGACTGAACAGCACCCTTAATGAGCGTGCCACTCCATTAGAGCTGGTTAAGTCACCCTCAACCCTGTTTTCATTACGGTGACAGTCTTGTGACAAGGGCAAATTGCAGGAGAAGCCAGCCCCCCTTGGAATGAACCCTGTGTATAAACAAGGCAGAATGGCAGAGCAAATGATTTGCAAAACGGAGGCAAATTACGTTTTAACCTTTTCTTTCTGAGTCTTTCCCTGATGTCTGATTAACTTTCCAGTCAACTGACTAACCTACCAACTGGGAGTGCTGCTGCGAAAGGAGGGTAGTGTTGGTTGTCAGTTTAAATTGGGGGTGGGATTTTAAAAGTGCTTTATTAGCAGGTAGCAATATGTCATAAGAGAATCTGGGAATTAAAAGGGTTCCCAAACAGAAATGATTCATGCTATAGCAAAAACACAAACAGCATATTTGCTATACAGGCAGCAGCACAGTGCAGAAGTTGTGACCCAGTCCTTTATCTGTGTTCAGCCCTGGTAACACCTCATCTGAAATGCTGTGTTGGGTTTGGGATATTGCACTGCCAGAAAAATGTGAACCTGTCAGAGGGGTCTAAAAGCAAAGAACGAGAATGATCAAGGGTCTAAAAAAAACCTCACCTACAAAGGAAGGTTGAAAGACCCTGGCAATGTTCAGCAAAAAAAAAAAAAGATGACAACTGAGGGAGGAACATAAGTGATTTAAAAGTTGATAAAAGGCTATTGCAGGGAAGGAGGGAATGATTTGTTCTTTTTGTCTGTAGTGGCTAAGACAAAAATAATAGCTTTAAATTGCAGCAAGGGAGACTCAGGTCAAACTTCAGGGAAACTTCAGGGTAAGGACAGCAAAGCACAGGAACAGATTGTCTGGAGTGGCTGCCGCTGGAGGGCAGAGGATGGCTGTGTCCCTGACATGACCCATGTGTCCTGCCTTGAGGTTGGGGAAAGGGTTAGGTGGTGACAGAAGTCCTTTCCACAGTGTTGTGACTCACCTAACTTTGGTCCTACGGGGTTCTGAAACATATTCATGAGTTACAGCAATAAAAAACACCTGTGAAAATCCCCCCTTGCTTCCTTTTCCACTGACTTTCCACAGCATCAGCCCCAGTGCACAGCAGAGGACCGAAAGCCATGTCCCAGAGCACCAGGTGCCCAAAAGGAGCCAACTTTGCCTCCCTCCTTTGTACAATATGCTGCTCCCATGCAGGAAGGCCCTTCAGCAGGCTATCAGGGGATACAAAAACCAAAGCAGTTGTAAGTTTTAGACATAGCAATGAGATTTCCACTCACCTGAACATCTGGTAGGAGCTCAAAAAAGGGACTGCTGGTTAGCCCTGATGAAAGAGAGGGGAAACCTTGTCACTACATGAGTTTAATAGGTACACTGCTGTTTTCACACTGAGTCTCCGTGACGGGGGGTGGTTTTCCCCTAGAATGATTCTGAAAATTGCCTGGGAAAAGAAAATAAAAAAGACAAAAATAATTGTGTAAGGGACAGAGTTCTGAGCAGATTTTGAAGTTCTTAAAGTCCCTCTCTGATGCAGGGGGGAAATGCATGAAACTGGCATTGCCAGTGTGTGTGCCCAGCCTGACCCGGCCAACATGCAGCAGCAAGTCTGTGCCTCTGTTGTGGGATCCATTGCAGGTGGCTCCATGGCAACTTCAGCTCCAAAGACAGCTTACCCACTGCTTTCACACAGCGCCATAAGCCTAGGAGAACAGCCCCATCCTTGCAGGCACTACTTGAACTCCATCAAACAACTGTAAGCACTTAGTGAAGTGGGCAGGGTTTCAGAAGTGCTCGGCACCTGCTGAGCAAAAAATGTCTTCTGGGCAGAGACTTGCTTTGGAAAAATCTGCTCTCTGAGAAACCTGAACGTGAGACCTTGTGAGGTGACTTTTTCTTTTTTTTTTTTTTAAAATCTGGCTTTTACCCTTTGAGGGTTGGGGGATGCTTTCTCCAAACATACAAATACACGGGCTGGTGCTTCCACATTCTGTAGAGCAGTGCTCACGGCCCTCTCAGAGGAACGAATGTGGTTCAGGTTCTTTCCAAGAGGAGCAAATCCTTACTTTGCTTTTGGAAGGAATAGAGTAGATATAACAATCCTAATATTTCATGCTTCCGTAGCAACTTTCCTCCAACGAATCTAATGTGTTTTGCATGGGTTAACCTCACCGCCCTTCTCTGACCAGGAGGTGATGAGAGAGGGGGGGCTATTTGCTGCAGTTCACAGAGGGAGAGAGAAGGACTTGACTCACCCAAGGTCGCACAGTGAATTAAAAGCAAGGCCACAGACCTCTCCCGATTCCTGCTCCTGTTCATAACCCCGACTCACACTTGAGCTGCTGTTTTCACAAGTGTGTTAGTGAGGCAGCACAGTTTAAATATGTCCATTTCATATGTACAGTAGATCAGGGATGCGTGATGATTATTGGTCTCCACGGATCAAATTACACTTTGTTTCTCTCAGTTGGGCTGTGTTTAACAGCATCTTGATCTGATCGATGGCACTTCAGGGTGATAGTTGCTCTGAGAGACAGAAGGACATTTTTCACAGTTTTGCAGTGGAGAAAAGGGTGCTGACAAAACACCATCACATCTGAGGACCCAGCTAGCCCTGCCTGAAGTAGCAATCAACCACAGTCTGACTAACCTCTCCTGGTGCTCAGCCATCACACTAGTGAACTTATCTGATCTCAAGTGGTGGAGATTTTGCTTCTTGGCCTGGGCAACCTGTGAGATGGGATGTGTTGGTACTACTTGTAGCTTCCTTCCAGATTTTCAGTTTTCCATAACTAATAAAAATGCTAGTATCTTGCTGATATGGCTTCTGAAATAACTTTTAAATCGCTCATGACTGTTGCTTATTTGCAGAATCCCTGTTGTGATTGTTCCTCCATAGCTATTCAGCAGGAGGTTTCCCAAATCTGAAAACCTAACAGAACCATCCCCTGTATTTTTCTGCACCACCAGGCAGAGAGTTCGAAGGCGAGGAAGAGTATCTGGAGATCCTGGGTATCACACGAGAGCAGTCGGGCAAGTATGAATGCAAAGCTGCCAACGAGGTTGCCTCAGCAGACGTCAAGCAAGTCCGGGTCACTGTGAACTGTGAGTACATTGCAGCTGGAACAGGTCAACGGGGAGAACTTTGCCCACAGGCGGGGGTCACTTCAGGATAAATAGAGAAGTGTTTCTGGGTTTATATTATACAATCTGAAAGAGAAAAAAACTATCTGCACACACTTGCCACAGGATGTAGTTTGTGCTTTAAACCTAGTAATATATAAGAAAGGGGGGGGGGGGTAGGCTGTGGGGATAGAGAGAAACAGAGAGGGAGAGAGAGAGGAGCTGTGAGTTGCCCCTGTCTCTCCCCTCAGAAACGCTGGCAATGCCTTGTTTTCACTCATTGATATTCGAGTGAACAGTAGCGTGAAGAGAAGCTTCAGCAAGGCAGCAAGGAGAGATAAGGGAGGGTTCAGCTGGCTCAGAGCAAACACACGCCTCCCTGCACCCAGCCATCTCAGCAGTGCCTTCACGGGTATCACAGCCCAGGGGACATGCAGTAGAGGCACGTGTTAAGGAGAGGGTACAAAAACTTTAATTTTGTGCTGGTTTCAAGCTCTGTCTAAGAGACCCTCCATGCACCAGCATAATACAGAAAGGGGCTTGACCAAAGGATACAGCAGTCCACCTAAAAGCACTGAGAGGCACAGTTAGCTATGTGGCTTCCATCCACACCTGTGTGAGTGGGGCCTGGATCCCATTGCCCATATATGCTTAGACAGATGTCCAGTTCACTCAGCTGGCCTGTTCCTCTCACAGTGACACAAGATATTTCAGACTGATGTTACTCGTGTAATCCTACGTGTGTATATGTCCACCTCTGTACTTGCATGGTTTATATTTGGCACTTGAGTGATTTAAAGTGAATATCTGCATCTACCTGCTATATTTCCTTACTTGGAGGCTAAAAACTTTGCAGCAGGGATTGATGAATAGGAGATATACCGTCTCTTGACCTTCTTCATTTTATACACCAGAATACTACCTTAAATTGCAATTGGAGATGATTACAAACATGTTTCAGGGTGCATGGTCTTGATTCACAGAACTGTCAGGGAGTGGGTTACAACAGAGACCTGATGGCAGTGTTTCAGCCCATTCCAGTCTTAATTTGACACCACAGGTGATTATAGCACCTTTTAATACCATTCTTGCTCTTTGTCTCTTTCTTTCTCTTTAAACCATCACATTAGATCAACTTTTCTGTCTTGCTTAGAAGTCAAGGTTATAGGCTCCCTGCAGCATCTTCAGAATCCACAGATTTTTATAATTCCCTTAGAAACTGGGTGGCAGTGGTTTAATACCAGCTGCTTCATGGGACAAATTTGGCATAAATATGAACTGTAGTAGCAGATTTTCTGCACTAAAAGTGTCGAGGGTTTTTTTCTTGTCAAAACCAGCTGAATTTATAAAACGAAGACATTCCATGATAACCAATTAATATTTTCAAATATTTCTGTGAAACATAATTTCAACGATGCTTTTAATGTGTTTGAAACAGATTGTTTGTATAAAGTCAGAATGTTTGATTTTGACTTAGTTTCAACACATAATAACTATGCCACAGTAAGAGCTTAAACATTTTAACTGTTGGAATATATGAAAATATAATGTGATAGAGTATTGTAATATTAATATGTGGTGTAATTTGTAATGTAAGCAACTTAAAATTCCATCAGGACAGATCTTTTCCTTTGAAAGAAAGGGAAATAAAATCTAAGAGATCATGAGGACCGTGCAGGAAAAAATCAGTCCTGTTTGAGGAATGAAAGCTAGACATTTGCATACATCTTTCCTGAACCTGCTTCCTTAAACAACACCACAAGTAGCAGAAAGTGTGAAAACTACAGTAAGTTTGAAAAATGGGACCTGCCCAACCTAAGGAGCTTCCTGGCTATCTTTTATCATCTGCTGTGGAGCACGTAGCTTGCCAGCTTAGACCACAGGAGAGAGCATCTCGCTTTGCTTTGGTCTCACACTACCACCTTCAGGCTTCCTGAGTAATGGCCCTTGCACATCACAGACAGGGAAACTGAGGCCTAGAGAAGAGTGAAAGGAAAACAGCCAAAGGGAACCCACTCCTGGCTTCCCGGGCAGGAAACACCTACACGCAGAGTGCCTGCTTTCTGAATGCAATAGACTGGTTTATTCGGGGCTCCCACCTGCCCCTTCTCATGGGAGAGCACTGCAGCAACATTTTAAAGGGGTGAAGATAGAGACTGCTCAGAGCAAGGGCTCCCTGGCAGCAGTCTGGGGAGCAGATGCCTGCTGGGATCATTTTCTAAGCCCATAGAAAGGTGCCTGTTCATTCTGTAACTCGCCTCTTGTGCCAGATTCAGTGAAATGGAAAAGTCTTGTCTCACTTTAGACAGCAAAAAGATATACTGTTTGAACCAAAATTCAAAGGAGGATGGTTAAAAAAATCACCTTCACTATCCTTTTATTATCCCTCCTCCTTTTCAAATTAAAATATTTGCGTGAACCCACAGCCTTTGAATGTAGGATCCTATTTATGTACACTTATTAATATTTATGATGTTAGAGGGCGCACTGCAATATCCCTAAAGCCCTGCATAAAATCCCGATTAAGGTCAGGAAAGGGATCACATTGAGATGGCTAATGTGTTCACAAACAAATTTCCTTCCATACATTTTCCAAACAGAATTATTTTTTTTTCTTTGACTGGCACAATCCATTTTGCTTGTCTTTTTCTTTGGCCTTCCAGTGCCAAGACAGACACAGACGGTGGAGCTGTACTCTGCACACGCAGAGTGCGCTTTATGGTAACCCAAGTCTCAGAAAAGTAGCTGTCTGAGTTGCAGTCCCATAATCTCAGGGTGTGGAAGTATTAGTGATGAGAGACAAGGCACTTATTCCTTGATTGCTCTCAGCAGCCAAGGGGAAATATTTAACCTTTTAACATGTAAAGCTTTATCACTTAATATTTTGAACATGGGGCTGGGATTGAAGATGCTGGTGCCTACCCAACCTGGTACCCAGCCAGTACTGAGACGTAGCTCAAGCAGGGCCCACCAATATGTTTTCCAAGTTTGGTTTGCCCATGGCTACAAATTAAGCAGAGGTGGGAACACCATGCTAGGCTGAGGGCAAGCTTCATGCAGAACAGTCACAAGCAAGCCTTCTTGAAGCTTGTCACAAAGCATGACGTCCAGGAACACTTGAGCAGGATTTTTAACCTTAGACACCTAAGGGAAGTGTCTCAACAAGTTATCTGTCTCTCAAAGTTGCACACACAGCTTCTCCTAAAGCTCTTCCCTTTTAAGCTGTGAATGTATTTCCATATCATACATGTTGCCTCAGTCCTTGCTTATTATACTTTTGGCATTAGACAAAGCGTTTGTATGGAAAATAATTTTCATGCTAGTGTTAAATTCCTTTATTCCTTTACTTTTACTGTCTTCCTTTACCCTTGATGAAGTCTTTCTCTCATGTTATCTCTGATGAGTCCATGTGAACTAAAGATCCATAGGTAAATATTCATAAATTACAGAAGTCCATCATTAACCTCAACTCTGCCTGTGTATGCCTATGCATTTATGACAGAATTTTATTCAGCAGTGCTGAAGAGAAGCACGTGTAAGGAGCAATGCTAACGTGGTATATTAGGGAGAGTTCAAAGAGCACGTATTCTGCAGAGGAGCAGGGGGGAACATGTGCCACAGCAAGCAGCAGCTGTGGGCCTCCACTAGCTTGAACAGTTTGCATGAGGAAGCCATCCCTGACATAGTTTTGCTGTTTTGTCACACCTGGAAGTGTGTGAAGTGACCACACGTTTCCTTCCTGCAGACCCTCCCACCATCACAGAGTCCAAGAGCAATGAAGCGGCCACGGGACGACAAGCCTTACTCCGGTGTGAGGCATCAGCAGTGCCCACGCCCGATTTCGAATGGTACAGAGATGATACCAGGTAAGACCTTTAGCTCGCTTCTTTTTCTTCTCTCCTTTTCCATCTAATCAATAGAGGATCCTTAGAGCATCACCTATTGTCCTCCCCAACTCTTCTTCTCAAACAAATTGCTCCTTACAATCCATTTGAGTCACAATGACCCATCAGACTCAGCAGAACCAGCATGGTCAAGGCTGGAGGATGCAGTCCCTCTCTGTGCTGGGGATGCTGAAGGAGGTGCAGAGGGTGGAGCTCTTCCCTTTAAGTCAACTATGGACCAACACACAATTAAGACAATGTTCATGTATTAAGTAGCTCATGTTACAGATAAAAAGGTAGGTAGTGTTAGTCTCCAATTAGGTAATACCAATCTAGGAGTCTTCATTTAGGGGAAGGAGCTGCTGAGGGAGGTGTGATTCCCCCATCTGTGTGACCTGAGCCTCTTAGATTTGCATATGAGAGTAAAGGAGAAGAGAAAAGGGATCTGTCCTTTATACCTGAGCATTTACCTGGTATTAAGAAGGTTGTGTTATTACCCTAGTTTTTAACATGACATTACAGGCTCAGGGGTGACATTACAGGCTCAGGGGTGACTTAGCTTTGGCATATGCACATATTTGAACACATGAATTGGTTCAAGTATGTACTAGCTTTCAGCTGGCCATGGTGTGTTCATTTCCAGTGTGAGTCTGTGCCGGAAAATGCTTCCTCCCTTTGCTTGTTTTTTTTTTTTTTTTGCTTTTCCACTGCCTTACTGGTGGCATTTCACCCCACTGCACTCTTACTTCCTTTCATTCCCTTCTGTTTTCCATACATGCCTTCTTTGATCTCTGTCTTCTCACATTTCCTTCCCCCCTCCATCTATCCTCCCCTTTCAACTGGGCTGAAAGACTTTGGTTTACTGCCTGCCAGGCAGTGATTTCCTTCCCAATACATAGCTACCATTGCACTATACACCTCTTCTTCTGCCTTCCCAGGATAAACAGCGCCAATGGTCTGGAGATAAAGAGCACGGGGAGCCAGTCTCTGCTGATGGTGGCCAACGTCACTGAGGAACACTATGGAAACTACACCTGCGTGGCTGCCAACAAGCTGGGAGTCACAAATGCCAGCCTATACCTTTACAGTAAGTATGGGAGAGGGTAAAGGGAGGCTCTCACAAAGACCAGGCTCTGTAGAAAGCACATGGTGACCAAAACTCAGGAAGGCATCCACTTGACAATCCAGGCCTCTCGAACCTCCAGCCGTGGAGGCTTTCAGCACTCTGCTTCAGAGACCTACATGTTCATACTTGCCGTGAAACACAAACACAGCCAAATTAAAAGGTTTACAGGCAAGCCCTTTGATTGACTGGCTTTGGTGAAGTCAGATTTTGTTAAAATAATAAAAGCATGTTTGTTTTAAAGCTGGAAACAAAAAACCCCTTAGAATGACAGCCCCTTTAATAAGTAGACAGAAGACCAGGGCTCGGAGGATCCATGACAGCTGAGAAATGACAAGTAATTCAGAGAGATGGAGAGAACTAACCACTGAGCCTGAGGAGAACAAGAGACAGTCAAGAAAAAGAGAAATTGGTTTGAAAATGGAGGAGAAAGAAATGAGAAAAGACAGAATGACTTTAAATGTGCATATCAGAGGGAACATGGGGGGAAAGGTAAACAGATGAAAAATGGAATAAGATTCTTTGGATCTCATTCTGCTACCTTTCAATTACTGAGTTTGTCTTAATAAGTGTAAACACACAGAATCTGGGACTAGACAAAATTCTAGAGCAGAATTACCTGCTGGTTTTGAACTTGGCAGCTGATTCAAACCTGCCCATAAACAAAGCCCCTGCTTCTCATCTACCATCCACGTGTACAACCCATACAAACCACGGTGTATTCAAAATGCAGTTCTCTATTCCAGGCCTAGAGTTGGACCACATGTTGTTATTGCTACTAGAGATAGACTGCAGCAAAATTGCCCACTCACACGAGGGACACGTAGACACAAAAGTGACTTATGGTACTATTCCTTGCATGGTCCTAAATTGAATTAAAACACTCATGTCATGACCTGCATGTCCTTTTAAACAGAAAAACAGATAAGATGTGTGAAGCAGTCAGTATGGGATGCAGTTTAGTCTAGTTTCTACTCTGTGTGGTCAGATTAATCAAACCACTATAAAAAAACCAGTGTTTTGGTTTGGTTATTTTTAACAGAGGTAGTGCAAAAGGATAAATCCATTTGTATTCCCTGTTTACCACCCTTCGATTTATTTCATGGCAGTTTGAATTTTTGCAAATTTCAGTGTATTTTGTGGAGGTTATTTTCTAAAGAACAGATATTATCATAAAAGAACATATATTTGATTTCCTGTAGCATTGCAGCACACAAAGCAAATTTCTACTTTGAAATTCTTTTCACCCTGGTCTTGTGACTGTCATGAGATTCAAACAAAATCCTCAGGCAGCAATCTGGAACATAATTTTCAAATACTCCAGATTTGTTCTTTCTGATATTAATATAATTCTAAGTTTAGAATCCATTATTTGTGACTGAATTCTAAATTTGGCCCTCTCTCTTGGTTCCTGTTACACAGATGAACTGAAATGCATCACTGAAACAAAATATAAAATGAAATTCAATAATGTATGTATGCACATATGATTTTAGCTGGGGGGTTAGTTTTGCTAGAAAAGCATTTTGCATGACTTCAGAACTTCACCTCAAAGGATCTCAAAGGATTTGCTAGCAATGAATATTTTAATATCACACGTTATTTAGAAATGGTTGGGTGTTATTAGCACCGTTTTGCAGTAGGAAGCCAAGGTACAGAGTGAAGAAGTGGTTTACCCATGGTCATAAAATGAGTGGCAGAACCTGTAAGAGACCCAAGGAAATCTTGCAAAGTTGCCATTAACTATTCCAGGAGGAGATGTGGCAACTATTAAAGATGGCTTGTAGCACCAAGGATCCTATTTTATCCCCCTTTTGATGTCTATGAAAAACACTTTCCTTCTTTCAAGTTGCTGGATTTTGTTTATCATTTTTACCTTAGAAATGCAAGGCCTATTTATGCTGGAGAATGCTGGTGAACTTCACAAGAGCCAGGTGAATAGAGGTACAGGAGCTGAGAGAGATTTAATGATTTTCAGTGGACTCTTTCTAACTTGTTTTTTGTTGCTTGGTTAATCCCTGTTTCTTTAGTGTGCACTTGCTTCACAATGTTTCAGGAAATCTGTTCTTCTAGTTAGCGTGGAAGAGAGAAAGAGAGAGAAAAACACAAATTCAAGCAGACTACAGATGGTATTTTGAAGGTAAAGGGGGGAAATGAGTGAAAGGAATCCAGCTTCATAAAGATAAAGAATGCAGCTGAAAAAACCTACAAGCCCAGATGAAAAAATGCTGTAGTGATCACACAGTAGCTGAAATAACAGGTAATGCACACTCCCAGCCACACATCCAGACAGAAAAATAAAGCAGCTTTTGCAAGGTACAGCAGATACTCAAATACTTGGGAGTGTTTTTCATCCCTGGAATCAGAGATTTTATTTCCTTTTTAAATAGAGAACAAGCTCACTGTAGAGCAACATCCCACTAGGGAGGTAAGTTCAGCGATGGCTCCTCAGTGTCCCATTGCAGCACAAAAAAGAATGGCAGCGAGAAGTGAAGAAACAACCAGAGAGTTAATAATGAGGTACTGGCAGCTTTGCCTGAGGTGGAGGGCAGACAGGGAGCTAGCAAAGTGATGTGAAAGAACAGTTTAGCAGTAGAGAAAAATGGGTGACTACCATTTCATGAAATCTCAGCCAGCACTGAAAAACTCTCAGAGAGACTGAGTGCCTTAGATGTTAACGTCATAGATAGAAGATGCATTAAAATACAAAAGCAGCTCCCTTGAGCTGTATGAATAGATAGCTAGTGATCTTCCTTAAAGAATGTAGCAGCAGGATTGCCTGCTGTAGGTGGAGAGATTTAATACTCCTCACTCCTGGAGACTGAGTTTACAATAACAAAAAAATGGCCACAACAAAGGTTTAACTTACCCAGGAACCTGTCTTCAACAGCAATATGGAATATGTTTGCAGACAGGCTACTTAGGTACAGTTTCATGATACAACCGATCTAATAGCTTGCTGACATCCCTTCCTCCCCACTCCTTTTGCTCACCCTACTCTCTGCCACATGGTTTCACTTATTCTGCTACTCAGTGGACATCCCACTGAGCCAGATCAACCTGATAAATCAGTGAAAAGGTAACTGAGCTTTACTGCTCACCTCCCCAGAATGCTCCCAAATGTTTTCTTTTGTTGTTCTGAGCTGAATTATTTCATGGACAGGCTTAACAAGCACCAAAGCCCATGCAAGAGAGAAAGCTGTATCATGCATCTGTGGGTGTGAGGAGTTAGGAGGCAGGACCATGTTTTGCAGCAGTGATGATCCAGTAGGTCAGTTCATCTCTGTAGAGCCTAGGGGTGTTCGTAAGCCCCAAGCACAAAATATGATGAGACCTAAGAAAGGGGCAGTAACACACATCTCTGTGAAAATTACCTAATAGAGAGGCAAAGCCAGGGCTGCCATTACAGAGCAACAGAGGTGAAAAGTGATGTCACAACTGAAGGGAAAGGGTTTTACCTCCAGGTGTATTAGGAGGTAGGGATCATGTTTTCTTTTTGTTTTACTCATCTAACAGAGTGCTATGAAAAGCATTATGAGTAAAAGTCACCATTTGTATCTTAACCCATGCTACCCAGAAGTGTATGTTTCTATATAAGTATATATAAATATACAGCAGATACACATTTGTTGTAGGAACACAGATACATAGGTTTATGTGCAGGTGAGTATGTATACATAGGCATGCACCTGTGTGATGTATAAGCAAGCCCACACACCTCTGCCACAGGCACACAGAAGCAGGTGCATTCTAGCAAGGCAGAGGAAAGAAATGAAAGCTTTTCCAAATTAGTGACTTCTGCCTCCCTTCCCATAGGATGAAACAGGAGACAACAGAGCAGTGTTGCACATCCTGATGCAGTCCTGCTGGCTAAGTTGTCTCAGTTATAGGAGACTGCCACCTCAGCAGATGCCATATCATCTGCATCCTTTGGGGAACTAGAAAACACAGAGGTGAAGCAGCCGCTGGCATGGCCTGTACCAACTAGAAGCAGCAGCAAGTGGGATCCCACCCCTGCCTCCTCGAGAGGCTTCAGGTGGAGTCCAGCTGGTTTGATTGCAGAGGGGCACGTTCCTAAAGTGAGCTGGCACTGGCCTCTAACTTGTCATTATTCATTAGTGTCCTGGCACAAGCTCTGGCTGTGTGCGCGGGCTGACACCCCTCCTTCTAACTCTCTGCCCACACTTCGTTGTGCCTGACCATTTGCTTACAGTGGTTGCTGTGAGGGTTTGGAGTGTTAACTGGAGCTGAAATCCCTCTTAGTGGTTCTTAGTGCAAACCCTGTGTCTTCCCCCCAGCTGTCACTTACGGGGAGACTCAGGAGACAGGGAAAGTGGTTTGGGGTGACAGTCAGACAGGGCAAGGCTGAGACACTGCTAATGAGCCAGGGTGGAGCAATAAAAGCAGCACACAGCGGGTGAGGGGAATAGAGGTAGAGTCCTTGAATAGAAAGCAGCATGATAATGAGGCCGTAGTGCTTTGCTTTAACTGCTTATGCTGTGCAGCCTGTAGCCTGCTGTGCAGGAAGAAGGTAAAGGGGAGTTGAGTTATTTAACCAAACTAAATAACAAGGAAGTCTTGTCAGCACAACAGCCTGCTTTCGCAGAACAATAGTCCCCTGTTGCTACATAAACACAGAGATCCAGGCTAGACTTGTATTTGATCTCCCCTGTGCCTGCTGCGGATTCAAACAACTCCATTACCACCACGAGGGCAGAAGTTCTGCCGGTGTCACAGGGATCGGCCTGACCTGCTACATCCTTATGGGCTCCAGCGAGGCAGAAACTTACTCTTTGCACCAAGGATACAATATAAAGAGCATTAGCCTCCAAATAGCTGGGCCTGGGTTGATCAGAGAATGAGAGTGGACTACTGACGTATCCTGCCAAGCTCTATGTCCATCAGCAGTGATCTTAGCAGGTAAGCCAGAAGACCACTCATTGTCCCAGGCCTACCATCTGTTGCAGCTAAATGTGTGTGTACCTATGGATCAGTCCATGAGCAGGAACTTGTCTCAGTCAGTACAAGGCATCCAGCAAGTTCTGAAGGCAATGAAAGGAGACCCAGCAATCAGAGTCAAGCCTGGGGACCTTGTATTCTTGGTTCTATGCCTGGCTCTGCCAACAGTTCAGCATTTGACCGTGGGTAAATTGCTTCCTTGCTCTGTGCATCAACTGCACCATCTGTGAAGCAGAATTAACACTACTGTTAGCCTCAGACTACTAATACTGTTAGCCTCAGACTCAAGTCTCTGATACTGCAATTCTTTTGGGATCCTTTCGTGGAAGAAGCTAACTGTGAAGTCAGCAGTGACGTACAACAAAGTCCTGCTGTGACATATAATGAGGACACGTTGTAAAAACCCTATAAACAAGACAGCAGGTTCTGGGTACAACTGGATTATGATGAGTGCAAAAACTCTGTTCCTTTCTGAGGAACAAAACTCTAAAGAAGGATTCTGCACGGTGATTGCTCCCATGCACAGATCCTCAGGGGACCTGTCACTGGGAAGAAATCCATTGTGGAGAAGGTTCTGGGGAGGCAGCAACTACCCATGGAGGGCTTCCACAACGCACCTCTCTTCCAAGACTAGCTTCCAGAAAGAGGTGTAACTAAGAAGAATTGTAGAATGATGACATGAGTGGTCTTGAAAGTCAGAGGGAAGATATGGCCCATCAACTCCAATTACCTTCACTGCAGATGCTTAATCCCTCTTGCTGTGTGGCTGTTATTTGTTTAGTTTTTCAAATGACTTCTCTCTGACTCCCAGTCCCAGGGGTTGTTGATGTGTATTAGGCGTGTTGCTAGCAAAATGCTCAGTATATGAAACCTATTCTAGTTCATCTAATTTGGGGATGGACAACTCCATCAGGTTTGTATCTGCTGCTTGCTTGGTGTGAAAAGTGGCTTGTCCTTTTCTCCTGCATGTTGCTTATTGTTTTTTTTCCCCCCTTAGAACGAGTTTTACCCACACTCCCCAATCCTTTTCCAGGTCAGTATATGTTTTATGTTGAAGTAGCTCTTTAGCCGGGTCATTCTCCGTCATCCTGACAAGTGCTCAGAGTTAGTGATGGGCAAAACGGCTCAGAAATGCAGGAAAATAAGGGCTTTCCCTTTTCATTTACATGTCATTTTGTCTTTTCTGCTCACCTTCCTCTTTCCCCCCCTCTTTTCGAAAAAACAATCAATGGAACAGCAACAACCAACCTTTAGCCACGCTTTGAGCAGTGACATTGTGTTGTCATGCAGGCCTGGACAGTTTTCAGTGAGGTTCAATTTGTCTGCAGACCTACACGTAATATATATTTCCATCCTAAGCTGTCTTTGCCCACTTGTTCAGATTTGGATCAAAAGCATAAGCAGAGCTAAAATTTTGCAGAGACAGTAGAAGGGACAAGTGAAAAGCTAAAACTGAAAATGCTGCCAGAAGGTTTTTTCATTCTAGTTGTGCAACTAGATGCAACTGCATCCACAGGAAAACACATTGTTTTCTGAATCTTTTGTCACACTGCTCCAAGTCTGCCAGTCACGTAGTCCTGCATTTGATGCAGAGAGCATGTAAAGAGGCATGGTGAGGTGTTACTGTCTGCTTTATTCCAAGGGAAGAAGGTGTGAAGGCAAAACAGAGTCTGTGTGTTTTTCCCACCAGAAAACAGAGTCTGGATGTTGTGTCTGTGCTGCCCAGTCATGCCTCAGGTCCTGGCATTGTTGCCCCAACATCCACATGACACTTGGGGCTTGGTTGTGACCTTGAGATTCTGATAAAGCGCAGAGACCAGGCATTTCCAGAAAGCAGGCTGCGGCATTTGAAAGTGGTGTTTGAAACTAAATAAACAGTAAGACAGCAAGTCCCTGCGTTCACTTAAAAAAATCTTGGCCTAGAGCCTCTCAGTATCTTTGTTTTACTGCCATATGATGAAGATGCACTCAACTCATGGGATGCTCAGAGACCTAAATTGTTAATGTCTGCGCAGAGCTTTGGGGTAGAGTGTTATTAGGAACCCACGTTGTTTTGCAAAAGAGCACCTGCTTGAACAAAGCACCTGCAGGTACTGCCATACAAAGAACAATAAATGCTGGGTGTTACACCAGCTCCATTTAACCACTCTGCTGTTTTCAAATCAAGCTCTGCTCTTGGCAACTTATTCAGGTTCAGGATGTAGTCACAACTGCCTATTTAAAAGGCAAATCCACAAATACAATTAAAGAAAAGTACCTACAAAAAAAAAATGAGGGGAGAGGTAGAAATTAGGCTACCATTAAAATTAAATCCCAGAGAGTGATTTGTAAATAACATTCAAGGAGCTGAGGAAAGGAGTAAAGTAGGCCATTGGGAACCTAGTGTGGAAAAATAAATCCAATTAAACACCATTATTATATGTATTGCAAATGAAACTTGTGCTGGGATATGAAATTAAAGTTGCTGAGGCTGTTTAGGATATAAGGTTTTGAGGAGTATTCCAATTTTAGGTGCTATTTTTTAAGCAGAATTTTCAATGACAAATATTTTTGTCTGATGAAAAACCCAGGGTTCTTTGGTTTTATGATTATTTTTATTATATATCCTTAAATTCCACAGGCAGGCAGTGTTAATTTTTTTCATAGGCAGTCCTGTTTACAGCTGGTTTTGAATTAGTATCCTATTAACCTAAATGATAAAGCAAAATCTGTGAGTAAGCAAGGCCAGGATTCCCATTACAAATACACCTCCTAATCAAGTTGCCAAGGCCATCCTGCACAGCTTTAGTCTATCCTTTAAAACACTACCCTCTCTCTCTTTGAAGCTGTTATTTTTTTACTGCTCCCCAGTCTCCTGAGATCATCTTGAAGGACATCCTGGTGCGACATCACTTCTGTGAGGAGTCTCCAGGAATTTGTGGTGCCAAATGACGGTAGATCTCCAGTGATCCAGGACACACTTAGAGGATTTTGCAGAGGGGGAAAGTAGAGTTTAAATACTCTCAACCTGTTTTCTGAAAGCCCCTACCAGCTTCTGCAGTGTGGGCCATCAGCACAGATACTGGTGCTTATCTCAACATGTGCTTTTACTTTGCTGTTCACCTTCAAAGAAACCTTGGGCATAACATTTTCTTGTTAGACTTTTTCCTCCCTATGAGTTGATGTTCTGAGATGTAGTCCACAGCTCTCAAATAAGCATCTCCTCAATGACCAAATTCACAGCCTTCTTTCTCTTTTTCCCTTAATTTCCACTTCTCTTAATCCTCAGTAACACTTCCCTGCCCTGTGAGGCTTTGAGCATTAATTTAAAAGGAAGATGTTTTGAGATGAAGCAGCTATCATTAGCTAGCTGCTGTGGAAATATCTTGCTTTCAGGCAGGCTGGAGACTCAGAAGCAGCCCATTCAACTAAACAAATGGGACTTAAATTTGATGAGGCAGTTTCCTAAAAGGCTGGTGGAGCCCAGCTGATTCAGCTCTCAACTGAATTGTCCTTCGGTAATTTTTCCAGCCCTCTTAATTTTGCAGCCAGGCACTTCAAATGCCTTGAAATGTCTTCTTGCGATGATGCCACATCTTCGTGTCTGCATTGTAACATCATGTTTTAATGGGCTGACACAAGACCTGGCTGTCACAAAGCAGAGGCCTTACTGCATCATCAGGTGCCTTTTCAAAAGGGTTTTTCTTCTTGAAAAGGAGAATTTGCTCATTCCCCGTCAGATCTGCCAGTGACAGAGCAAGTGTGGTCACTGTTGAAGCACTAAGGGTTCTGATACAATTATAGCACTAGCTCCATCTTTGTCCTCCTTTGTCCCTTGTCCTCAGCCCTTTGAGCATAGAGTCCCTCCCCTGTGAATATCACCTAGTGTCCACATCAGAATGGCTTAGCCAGACTAATGGGCTTCAAAACCTGTGAGTCTTCCTCACAGGAGTTTTGTGATGAGGGCTTACCACAGGCTAACTAGAGGCTTTCTCAGCATGGTTAGCTTGATGCCCTGGGAGCTCTGCAAGGGAGATGTGCTGTTTCTCAGAAAGGAGCACATCCAGAGCTGCTCAAGGGCAACAAGCGTGTCAGTCTTTGGGGCCTGAACAGACAAAGTCATGGCCATCAACTGGTTGACAAAAGATTTATAGCAGTAGTATGTTAGCAATTAGTGAAGGGGGAGGGAAAAGGAGAATGACCAGTTCTGTCTTTCTGCCAAAACGTGCACTGACTGGAGAATGACCCTGTATGGCTGTAGATTGTAGATAGTCTCCATTAGCTGTAGCCCATGTAGCCTGTACTGTCACTAATGCCTTCATCAGGTGGGTGGGAGCTGGGGGAGAGAGATGTTCATTTGAGTTTGATGACCAGAGAGCATCTTTCTTTCTAATACTCTCTCAGTCCTCTTTCCTCTTTATGGAGGTCCTGGCTGTGGAGAAGAAAGCTCATCTGTTGCAGTGGTGACCTCCACCCATCCCTGCTCCCCTTTTGCTTTCTCTAGTGCATGACCCTGCCAGTTCTGCTGAGCCTGCAGCTCTTGTGTCAGCGGGGTCTGCTTTGGTCAAAAGATGAACATCTGAGTATTTCAAAGCTAAGGAGAGAAGCATGAGGGTTTACAACAGAGACTACAGACTGTAAAGGATTAACATGTTATGGGGGTTTGCTGACTAGGCAGTGGTGTGGGAACAGCCTGCAGAATCCAGCCCTCCCAATACAACCAGCTAAAGAACCCATCCATCTCTGGAGTTCTCTTCACTGAGGCCAGAGGGTGCTTCCTCATCTGAGCTCCAAGAAAGGGTCAGTGAAAATCCAAGCCTTCAAGCCTTTGAAACAAACTAGTTGGCAGAGCTGGGGAAGCCATAGCATGAACAGGCCAAAATAGACAATCCTGCCTGATTGTGATCCTGACAGAGAAATAGAGAAAAAAAATAAAGAGCAGGGGAAAATAATGGTCATAGGGACCAAGCACAGGAGGGCATATTTGGAGCCATGTGCAAATCTGGTATTTCCATAAATTCTAAGGCATTTGAGGGCCACAGTTCAGCTGTTCTGGTCACTCCACAGTGATGTGTGCCTGACTACTCAGAGCATGCCTCACTTTGGCAGCTGATAACACCCATGATCCTGGGCAGGAAGCACAACTCATGGTTCTCCTTGCTTCTCACTGGTGGTTCCAGCCAGGTTTTCCAAAGAACTCATTCTCCATTTAGGGAGTGCAGAAGGGATTGGCTCTGCAGAGTGGACGCTCAGACAGACCAAGCTTCTCTTGCCGATCAGTCAGTGTCTGTCCCTGCCAGTGCTGCCCACTGGGTGCCAGGCCTGTGGGGGTTTTAGGCCAAGGGAAGAGGAAGGACAAGACAGGGTGAAGGCAGGCAGCCAATAATAATATTAATTGCTTCTTGCTATTTTATAGGTACCAGGCAAGGGATAGCACTGTATTTTATTTTGACTGTGTGGTTTAAAGTGAATAATATCAAAGTCAATGGTGATGATTGTGTCTTCCAAGAGGGGGTAGTATAGATGTAGCCAGAAACAGCATCTTAGGGAAAATAGAAATGCCAAGAATTATTTGTTACTACAGCTACCAACATTGCCTGGTGGGTTTTTCTGAATAGCAACAGACAGCTTCTGTTTGTTGAGATTGCTTTAAAAAAATTAAAAACCAGTCTGCTTCTTCTCCCCCCCCAAAAAAAAAAAGTGTAGAGAAAAGAAATGAGCTTTCTGAAAGAAAAAAGAGAAACACAGGGGGAAAGAAAGAGAAATGGCTTTATTGCTTGATCTGTTTCTGTACTTTTTGTTCATTAATTTTAATTTAGATTGATTTATTCCAAAATGAGCCTTGGGTTGCATATATTTGCATTGTAGCAGCGCTGTGGAGGATCCAGTGAATGAGGAAGAGTACCAGCAGAGGGTAGGAACTGAGATTAGAAGTCCCAGAAAGATATTCCTCCCAGCTGGGCCCTTGCAGTGGGAAGGCATTTCAAGGTCTGTGTAGTCACTGGTGTGGCTTTGCATCAACACAGAACAACCCTATGGAAGAGAGGTCAGGGC